TCTTACTGTTGAACCAAAAGCACTTCCAAGACTTTCCCGGGTTATTTCCAAACTAGTTCAAAAATTCTTCAGGCAAATCATGATCACAAAAAGAGAACTTTCAAGTACAAAACATCAAGCGCCCAAAACCAGAAAAAAGCACTAGGACGACTCTCTAGCCGAATTACAAATCTATGTTGGAACTTAGCCATAGCCACTCGTTCACAACCTTTGACAATAGTGCACTCGACATTTGATTTCTCAACAAAATACAGCACGAAAGCGGCTCTTCGAATTAATGTCTAAGACAAAGTTGTAGAAACCGAAACGGTGAATATATAAACAGGAACGATCTCACCAAATGAACGATGTTTTGCCCGTGAAGCAAAAACTTGGAAGACTGTTGCATCTTCTAGTTCTAGCTCAACACTTCAAACCATTCCATCGGATCTTCAAAGAAACTCTTGCACAATCCGCCTCCAATCCAATCAGAATTATCGCGTTGAATTATGCCAATCGCCTAATAACAGTTCTGACGAAAAGGATGCTGATAAAAAACACTTTGAAATGCATTTTACCCGATCACTTGCACTTGCTGTGCACTAAAGTTCTTTTCTAGAACTATGTTATCGAGTGGCACATTGTTTCGGGCTAAAACGCGATGAAAAAATCAATGACAGAAAATAATAAAGCCTAAAATTTGACACTCGGAAATTGTTCACGTACTTACAGAAGCAGAGCACACTTCGATCTCTCAAAGTGGATTTGAATGTTTGGACATCGCACCAAAGTAAGGCCTGTACTCGAAAAAAATGCACCAGAAAAAAGAGTTCGCCAAAAATTTATTTTAAGTCGGATTTTTTTAAACTTTCAGGGAATTAACTAATACATATGGATTATGTTTCGGCATAATTACTTTATTCAATTTCCTTTCCATCGCTGAAAGCCCGAACCTTTCCCTTAAGACCCCTCATTAAATTTTGAGCAATGGTGGAGCCGATCTTTTTGGTCACTTTCATCCATTCTTCCTTCAACTCCAGCTTGTTCTTAAACACCTTGGACGATTTTCAAACTTTGGCCTTCATAATGGCCCAAAATCTTTCCACCGGACGAATCTCTGGTGAATTTGGGGGGTTGGCGGTTTTTGGTACAAAAACAACGTTATTGTCTCTGTACCAATCCAACGTCGATCGCGCGTAATTGCATGATGCCAGGTCCGGCCAAAATAATGTCTCGCCTCCGTGGGGCCGCAGGAAGGGCAACAGACGCTTCTGGAGGCACTCGGGGCCCCGGTATCTGCTTTTCGTCTGCCTTGATGTAGGTTTCGTCATCCATAACCACACACATCGGTTTCGTTAACCACTCTCGATACAGCTTCCTTGCGCGGGATTTGGCCACCGGGTTTTCTTGATCACGCCGGTTCGCCTTCAATACACTAAGTCCAGCTCGTTGCATGGTTTGCTAAACGAACCAGGCGGAACACTTTGCCTTAAGAGCCACGTCGCGAATCGAAAGGTTCGAATTACGCTTGAAATAATCCAACACCTTCCGGGACTTCACACGATTTTCTTCCACTTCCAGCCCACCGCTCGGTCGTCTGGGACTCCTTAAACGATTTTACCACCCGAGACACAATTGTATGGGTGATTCCCAGTTGTCTTCCGATCCATCTCATGGTCGCAGTCGGATTTTCCATGATGGCACGCAAAATTTTCTTCTTGTTTCGATGACATCTCAATAACCACTGAACCGATTGTTATGAAATTTTGCACATGTAAACAATTCACTCCAAACTAGTTATACCCAGATTTTCATAAATTTTTACCCATGGATAAAAAAGTTACACACGGATAAAAATGGTGCATTTTTTTCGAGTACAAGCCTTAAATTGAACCTTGCCAACCATTTTTCTCAATAATCTGCTTGAATATGAGGAATCTAAGAAAATTTTACGTCTTTTAAGTAGATGGGTATACTTTAGACCTGTTCATTTTAATTGAAATGTTCGGAATGTAACGGGTCAACCGTGATTACTGTTCGTCATGTTAATTTGAACTTTTGTGCAAATTTTCAGCAAAATCGGTGTTGATTTAGAGGTGATTCAAGTTAATTTTATGTTTTTAAGGTAATTTACGGCTTACAATATTTGTATCTCGAGACTGAAATAACGAAAACTGCTGTAACAACTTTCATAGCAAAGTTTAATGTGTCATGTATCAACTTTGTGACCAAAGGTTGACTATTAGAAGTGATTTTATTGATGTTTGACTTAGTTTCATGCTCGAAGATATTTTAAAATGTGAAGAATTTTAAAGTATTTGTTCTACGAATTTTCCACCCGTATGATATAAAAATGTGTAGTGTACGGCATAATGTTCCTCATATTGTTCTAGAAGTTTCATTCCAACATAGTTTTCGTGTTTATTTCATAGATTGAGAGATAAAAATCAGAAAAGAGGCCGTTTTAGCTAAAATTCACAAGACAACAGAACCAATAAAAGTCAATTAGATTGACAGAACATAGTTGCATTGCTTTTCAATGACGACCGATGACTGTTTCATTGATATATGATTTTTTCATAAATATGAATCCTCAGTAGACGTGTTTTTTATCAAAGGCAAGTGTCACTCGAGCCATTCAAAATGTTCGTTATTTTATAAATTGCTGTTATGGTTCGAGTGACACTTGCCTTTGATAAAAAAAACACGTCTACTGAGGATTCATATTTATGAAAAAATCATATATCAATGAAACAGTCATCGGTCGTCATTGAAAAGCAATGCAACTATGTTCTGTCAATCTAATTGACTTTTATTGGTTCTGTTGTCTTGTGAATTTTAGCTAAAACGGCCTCTTTTCAGATTTTTATCTCTCTATCTATGAAATAAACACGAAAACTATTTTGAAATGAAACTTCTAGAACAATATGAGGAACATTATGCCATACACTACACATTTTTATATCATACGGGTGGAAAATTCGTAGAACAAATACTTTAAAATTCTTCACATTTTAAGATATCTTCGAGCATGAAACTAAGTCAAACTTCAATAAAATCACTTCTAATAGTCAACCTTTGGTCACAAAGTTGATACATGACACATTAAACTTTGCTATGAAAGTTGTTACAGCAGTTTTCGTTATTTCAGTCTCGAGATACAAATATTGTAAGCCGTAAATTACCTTAAAAACATAAAATTAACTTGAATCACCTCTAAATCAACACCGATTTTGCTGAAAATTTGCACAAAAGTTCAAATTAACATGACGAACAGTAATCACGGTTGACCCGTTACATTCCGAACATTTCGTTTAAAATGAACAGGTCTAGTATACTTGTATACCACACTTTCTACGATTTTGAATGAAATGGTTCGGTCTTCATCAAAATTGTTCAGATGTATAATACCTGGATGGTTAACAGTGCCATAGGTTTCAAATTACGTGCTTAACTTGACATATTGACTAGATAGAAGGCTAAAATCACACTCTTCGGCAAAGTTGTTCAAGTGAGTAAGTCTTATTGTATGGTGTACATCACAGTTAAAACGTCACTCACCATGTGGCGCTAGTATGCTATTCAACCTATAATTGTTTGCTTTAACTAGCGCCTTTGACTAGATAGAAGTTATCGGTCTTGGACAAAGTTGTTCAAATGAATAAGACCTATTGGATGGTGGACTAGTGGTGGATAGTGTACCATTTGACACCTTATTGCATGCTTTCTCGACAGCACGACTGAATAGAAGTTTCCTGTCCTCAGTAAAGTTGTTCTGAATGACAAGACCTATCGAATAGTTGGCAGCTCAGTTAAACATATCACTCACCACTAGTGCCATTATTGATTATAATGGCTTGCTTAAGTCGACATCCCGACGAATATCCCAACTAGATAGAAGGTTGCTGTTGCAGGTTGTTCAAATGAAGAAGACCTATTGTCAGTTCAGAATTTTCAAACCAGACGGCGCAAGTGATTATTTGCTTTAACTTGATTTCTTGCTTGCTATTTTTAGCAAAGTTATTCAGGTGGACAAGACCTACTGGATGGTGCACAGTTTTGTTCAGAATTTGGTGGACAGGGATGTAAGTGTGCCTGTGACATTTTGATAGGTTCTTTATAGGGACCCGATTTTGTCAACCCCTCCGCGTATCCGTCTTTTATCTTTCAATAATTTTACGTAACCGTAATTACAAATCTTTCTCATTCATCTTCAAGAAGGATGTTTAGGGTATACTTTGGCGCAATAAGTACATTGCGGTATCTAACAATAACCTGTAATTTTATACAGCCAATCATAGGACCTGAGCATATATGACCCATCTGTTCCGAAAGGGTTAATTGCTAAATATTGATATAATATCGAAGACAACGCATCAAGAAGACTGGCAACTCTACCATTTTCTCATACGACCGCTATGAGACCGGCACAATCGCGTCATCTGCCGCGAAAAGGTAAATGTTTCGAGCGAATTGGATAGCAAAGATTACAACCTCAGGATAATGGTTTGTATATTTGTTCATTTCTCTATGCGTTGCTTCCACCTTCACTCAAGCGCAGCGCTATTGTATCTGTTGCTTGGATTCTGGCAGAGTTGCCAGTCTTCTTGATTTGATGTATTCGATAATATGCTATTTTTAAGTTTGAAGTTTTTTGTTTTAGGCTGTAAGAGTGATTCGTACGTGAGTTTTTTTTTTCTCTCAGGATGGCTCAATGAATGAGATTTAAGAATGATTTCCAGAAAAATGCGGGAGAAAAAAGAAAAGAAAGGGCCGTCATATTATCTTGCTTCTAAAACATGCAGTACTTGTATTTTTCATCAACTCCAGCGCTTTTTTATTGTTTCGCTCTAGCAAGTCTTCCACTTGCTTTAGTTTGCTCTCGATTACTGTAATGCTTGCAATCACATTCTTAAATTATGACTCACTTCCTGCTCTTTACAAGTGGGAGGTGTTACTTATCTTATTTGCGTTACGTTTACTTTTATCTTGTTTGGGGATAACCGATTGATGTTACACACTTCTTCTTCTTTTTTTTTATAGTTTTGTCAGTTTATCGCAATATAGCCATGTTTTCTTTGTTGAATTAAGCAATGCTTATTATATTCACAAAAGTATTATAATACCTTGCACTCGGAAATATAGTTAAATTATTTTTCGATTTTTGTTTTCTTCGTAAAAAAGATATCACTCCAATGTTTATTTTTCTAGCATTTTTATATGCTTTCACATTATAAATTTTATTTTATTTTTATAAAAAAGTATGATTTTCTTCTTTTTTTTCGTCAAAAATGTGCTTATTTAACACGTGTCATATAGCACGTTACGTTTTTTTTGTATTCAAACCATAACATGATAACTATGCTAGATGTATGAAGAAAGCCTTGAACTATGGAACATAACCAAAAAAAGAAAGAATTGAAGCTAGTTTGTTTTCATATAACAAGAAGTTCCCCGTTTTCAGGACTTAAATAGTATGCGTTTCTCATTTATACTGGATTTTGTTGAACCTTGTTTGCGAGCTGCGAACCATAGTTTGAGTCTTTTTGATCAATCGATTTGTAATGCAAAATAACACTTTAATAAGGAATGTATCATAATCAGTTTATTTTATTTTTTTTTTGTATTTCTTTCAAGAACCAGGGAACTATTCACCAGCATTACAGCTAAACGTTGATTATCCGATAGGCACACTTCTAGAAACGTTTATTTTAAAATAATCGATCGAATAATCAAAACTTTATTATTTTGCTGAATATTGCAGTTGGTCTTAATTCTGGAAACAAGAAATTACAGGTCAATAAACCTAACTCAGAGAGAAATTCACTTTTACTTAGTTGTATGATAAATGTCTAAAAACGCTGAGTAAGTTGCATTTTTAGACATTTCTCATACAACTGAATAAAAGCGACTCTCTCTATCTGAGTTAGTCTCATCGATCGTGAATGAGCAGAGAAATTGTCTTCGGATAATCAACGTTCTACTGTTGCACTAATTTTGATGTGTCTACGATTTCATGCTTATATCGTTTCGTAGCAAATATACTTTGGAAATATTTTTGTGAACACAATTATCAATCATCTTTCAGATTGTTAATGTTTTGCATTTGCAAGAATGTAAATACCTGTCTGTACAATTCATCACTTTTAATATGGTGAAACAGGCATTCCGTTGAACAAAATTGGCTATTTTTAAGAATAGGATAGTTTAGTCATTAAAAGGAAACGTGTCAACAACAGCTTTTTTGACTTTGCTCAATACATTGAAATAAAGTAATATTTTCTAAAGCAGACAGGTTTATTTTGGTAAAAACAGAAATTTTTGCCTCACAATATACTACATACCACACACAAAAATCAACAGTTGGTAGCTAAAGGAATTACAGGTTATATCGTTTTAAACTCCCACCTCCCGAACATAGCATTCTCGGCAAACCCGTACTGCCTTGGTCAGTCCGTATTTGGGCAGTGGTGCCGAAGCGCTCGAACACACACCGCAGAAAACTCCGCCGCAATTTCGGCAGTGATGACGCCTTCGAAAAGGCGTAAACGAAGATGCGCAAGCCATACACCGTGGAGCATCCCCGTCGGGAATCCACCTCGGAGGTGCTTCTGGCATGTGTCGTTCTTCAGATAATGGTCCATTGATGGGACTGCTTGGACTCGATCGACTCCGGCCGTATTCTCCTTTCGTCCCGATTGCACTATGTCTCCGGTGATTATCTCGTAGGTTTGACCCTGTGCTTCCGCCATTGCCTTCCACCACGATCGATGTTTCGCTTAGACTTACACTTCTCTCTTGAGAGCTCCTACTGGACCCAGAACTACCTCCGGTTACAACCGAAACAGAAACATTAACTGTAACGCTTCCGCTCTCCGCAGTAGTCATCATCGTCCGTGGAGCAGACGAAGCCCTGACAGGAGAAGAGCCGGGTGACCCAAAAACTGAATCGTGTGGATCCTCGGGATTGACTTCTTCGGCCGAATAAATGCTCTGACTCGAACCGCCGCTGTTTTGTCCGGGAGTGATGACGTCCTGTTCGCTGGCACGGAACTCAAACAGATCCGTTGGGTCCGGCTCTTTCGGTTTATCACTCGATGTTGTGGCTGGCTCGGGAGGTTCCTCTGGCTCCGGTGGTGATGAATTGATAATAAAGACACTCTTCAACATCTGCCGGAGATCGGCAGCGAAGTTGGTCTGTAGTTGATCAGCGACCCCGGCTATACATACGAACAACCTGTGCAGTAGGTTTTCGGTGGTCCTAAAATAAATAATGTAATACATTAGAATCTAGCAATAATGATTGTATAAATAAGTAGGGAGAGCAGAAAAGGTGACGTAGATAATAACGTGTGGTGCCCGTTCACAGCTCACTTTAGAGCAAAATTAGGTTTACAACGTTAGTATAAACAAATTGTATAGGTGTATAAAGAATATGTTTCCACTATCTTGAAGGTCATTATCTTACACTGAACCGAGAAATCTCATAAAATCTCATAGGAACATCACATAGCTTCACACTGATGACATTCTAATTCATATTATGTGCATCCATTACGACACACCAATAATATTCATTTGTCAATACGATACTTTCTATGTGAACGAAGGTTTGTTTATTTGGTTCTACATCAACAGACTGGGTTTAGTCGGAATGATGGATTAAGCAATACTAGGAAATACAATATAGTCAAGAAGTAACAAGCTACAAAGGCCGTGAAGTCCAACTTAATTCCTAATATCACGGAATCTCTGACGCAGCGTCTCGCGTGCCAAGTGAAAATCAAATAAGGCAGCAACACGATTGAAAACTCTTTGTAGCCCATTGATAGCACCATACGAACTATAGTTTGTACGACGAAAAGGTATCCTTAGCATTGCGCTGTTACGGAGTGCTCGTGATTGAACCTTAACGTCGATTTGTTGTAGAATAGAAGGACAATCGATTCTGCCCAGTAGAATGTCTGCCCCAAACAGGGCCATTGTCGTATCTCTTCGACTCCACAAAGGATCCAGGTGAATGAGGATCCCTCCAAGGCAATCGTCGAAGGGCAAACCAGATGAATCGTCGTTGAATAGACTCTACTCTTTGCACACTGTTTTGGTAATTGGGATTTCATACAGGGCAGCAGTATTCTAACGCCGACCGGACGAGGGAGCAGTAAAGCTAAAATTGTAGCTATCCTGAAAATGAAGATCCTTGGCACCAATTAGCAAAAGCGTTGAGTTGGAGTTGGAGTTGGAGAAGGTGGCAGTCAGCGATGGCTCGGATTCGAAGATAGATTTTCATGTCGTCTGCGAACGACAGCCGTGGACAGTCGAGGACGAAATTAACGTCGTTGAAATACACAAGAAATATCAACGGGGCGAGGTGGCTACCTTGCGGAATACCCGAAGTGGCAGGGAACGAAGGAGATCGGCAGTCGTCAATTGCAACTTCCAACTGACGATCAGATAGATAGGATGCGAACCATCGTAGGAGACTGCCGTTTATACCGAGCCTATCCAGTGTGGCGATCACTATAGGATGGTTCAACTTGTCGAAGGCGACTGATAGGTCAGTGCCGATGACATCTGTTTGCATATGGTCTGTCATACTCTCCGTAATGTACGAGGTGAGACACAGAAGGTTGGAAGTAGTCGACCGCCCTGCCATGAAACCATGCTGGTCTTCGCTCAAGTGCTGCTTGAAGTGAGAGACTAATGGTTCCATAACGACCAAGGGGCCCCCTTAGCTCAGTCGGTTTGCTGGGTTCGATTCCCGGTTCGGTCTAGGAATTTTTCGGGTTGGAAAATTTCTCGACTTCCCTGGGCATAGAAGTATGATTGGACTTGCCACACAATTATACCAATGCAAAAAAGGAACAGGCATCGAAAGCTCTCAATTAATAACTGTGGAAGTGCATCTAGAACACTAAGTTGAGAGCACGCAATAAGCTAATATGCGATATGCAATAAGCTTGAAATGCAAATAAGAAGAAGAAGAAGAAGAAGAAGAAGAAGAAGAAGAAGAAGAAGAAGAAGAAGAAGAAGAAGAAGAAGAAGAAGAAGAAGAAGAAGAAGAAGAAGAAGAAGAAGAAGAAGAAGAAGAAGAAGAAGAAGAAGAAGAAGAAGAAGAAGAAGAAGAAGAAGAAGAAGAAGAAGAAGAAGAAGAAGAAGAAGAAGAAGAAGAAGAAGAAGAAGAAGAAGAAGAAGAAGAAGAACGACCAACTCGAACAGTTTAGATATGGCACACAACGATGTGATGCCGCGATAGTTGTCGATGTTTCATTTGCATCCCTTCTTATGCACGGGAAACATCTCAGCTGATTTCCAACAGGAAGGAAACACGCCACTCGAGAGGGACTTTTCGAACAGACAGTTAGCGCTCAACTTCCAAGCGGAGCAGACGTTTTATTTCCCTGGAAGCCACACACAAGCTATATTTTTTCAATTTTCGGTTCGCCTCGTTTTAGTGGTTGTTTTTGCGTGTTCTTTTCGTCGCGATTATCGCCGCGATGAGTGTTCGACGTGAAAACACGTTTCGCATCGATTATTCGAACGTGCCGAAGAAGCCATCCTTTGATGAGCTTCATGACTTTGTTGCTACCGAATTGGGTCTACAATACGAAAAAGTTCTTCGTCTCCAGCCAAGTAAGGTATTTGGATGCGCCTTTGTGAAGGTCGTCAACCTAGAGCTAGCACAGAGAATTGTAGCAGAACACGACAACAAGCACGAGACCGAAGTAGACGGCAAAACCTATAAGCTTCGGATCACAATGGAGGACGGGGCGGTTGAGGTGAAGCTGACGGACCTGTCCGAAAGTATCACAAACGAACAAATTACTGAATTTCTCTGCGCCTACGGTGAAGTGCTCTCGGTCAACGATCATGTATGGGATAGCAAATATCGCTTTGCTGGGCGTCCGACTGGCGCTCGCATCGCGCGCATGATGGTTAAGCGCAACATCGAAAGCTACATCACTATCGACGGTCAGTCAACGAGTGTGACATATATTGGACAGCTGCAAACGTGCCGCCATTGCAGCGAATTTGTACACAATGGCATCTCTTGTGTACAAAACAAAAAATTGCTTGTGCAAAAAACGTACACGTATGCCAATGTGGCAAAACAACCGGGACCGAAACCAACCGCCCCGAAAGCCTCTGCAACGACGCAGAAAACACCATTCGTCAAACCGTTTGGACCGAAGCCCGGTTAGGGGGGAAAGCAACGAATCAATCCACTGACCCAAAGACCAAGCGCAACTCAACCTGCGCTAACTGCTCCGAAGCTGTCCACACACAACCCTGTCGAGCCGAAACAGGCGAAAACAAACCTTGCCGAACAAAGTGCTACTCTCATGGCACCGCCGGCTTTGATAGGTTCAATCAGCAGAATGCTCACACGTCAAACCAGCGATGGAAACGAAACAGATGGGTCATCGACTTCGGGAAGCTACAAGCGCCGAGGTGGTCGTCCTCTAGGCAAAAAGCAACGACATGACGATGCGAACGAGGAGGTAGACAACGAACTATAATGGATCTCAGCAGCTATAATATCACCTCGATTAATATCAACACCATCACCAACTCAACAAAACTCAACGCACTACGAACGATGGATATAGACATCGCACTATTGCAGGAAGTAGAGAACGAGGAACTCAGCTTGCCTGGCTACAACGTCGTGTGCAATGTAGATCACTCACGAAGGGGGACGGCAATAGCGCTGAAAGAGCACCTGAAATTCTCAAACGTCGAGAAGAGCTTAGACGGACGGCTGATTGCACTACGGGTGCAGAACACTACAATATGTAACGTTTACGCTCCATCTGGTACGACCCTTAGAGCGGAGAGGGAGCGTTTCTTCATCAATACTCTCGCTTACTATCTCCGACATCGCACAGAGCACACATTGATAGCTGGCGATTTCAACTGTGTTCTACGGCAACGTGATGCAACGGGATACAATCACAGCCCCGCTCTCCTCGCAACCGTACAGCAGCTGCAGCTCCTCGATGTTTGGGAATAACTCTGTCCAAATATACCGGGCTACACGTACATTACACACAACTCATCTTCTCGCCTAGATCGTATGTACGTTAGCCAGGGTCTACGAAGTCAGTTGAGAACAGCTGATGCGCATGTTTGCTGTTTTTCTGACCATAAAGCCGTAACAACGCGAATTTGTCTTCTTCAATCAAGCCGCGAACCTGGTCGTGGTTTTTGGTCGCTACGTCCACACCTGTTGACAACAGACAACATTCACGAGTTCCAGGTACGCTGGCAATACTGGACCCGCCAGCGTCGAAATTACCCCTCATGGATGCAGTGGTGGCTGTCGTGCGCTAAGCCTAAAATAAAATCATTTTTCCGTTGGAAATCGAAGGCGATTTTCATCAGGAACACCAACGCCTATATGGAGAATTACGACGAGCGTACGATGGCTACTACCAAAACCCTGCGATGCTGTCAACAATAAATCGCGTAAAAGCAAAAATGTTGACTCTTCAGCGCAGCTTCACGCAAGCATTCATGCGCGTAAACGAGTCCTTCATCTCTGGAGAACCGATCTCAATGTTCCAGCTGGGCGATAGGCATAGGAAAAAAAACAACCATCACACAACTGCGAGACAACGATAACCAACTCATCGATGATCCTGGTGCGATCGAACGACACATGCTTGGCTTCTACCAATCGCTATACGCTGCGGGTGAGACGGAAAGAGCAGCAGCAGACACATTCGAATGCGAGAGAATGATCCCTGAAAACGACCCGGTAAGTGAGTCCTGTATGAATGAGATAACTCCGGCTGAAATATACACAGCCATCAAGACTAGCAGCTCGAACAAGTCTCCCGGAGGAGACTCTTTGCCACGAGAGTTCTATCTCAAAACTTTCGATGTCATCTGGAGAGAAATCACACTCGTCATAAACGAACTCAGGTAACTTCCCAGCTGATTTTGTTGACGGTGTGATCGTACTTGTGAAGAAGAAGGGAAACGATCGTTCAGCGCACTCTTATAGACCAATCTCATTACTCAACTTTGATTATAAAATCCTCTCTCGTATTCTTAAACAGCGTCTGGAGAGCGTGATGAGTACCCACCGAGTAGTCAGCGAGAGTCAAAAATGCTCTAACTTCGGCCGGAATATATTTCAAGCTACCCTTGCTTTGAAAGATCGAACTGCACGACTGACCAAATGTAAACAACGTGGTTTACTGGCATCATTCGATCTCCGTCACGCTTTCGATGGACCGGTCGTTTCTTTTTCGT